CTCCCACCCGCCCTCCCAACGCAGGATCCGCGGACGGCCTGTATGCGCCGTGCCGCGTTGGCGTCTCCCCGGGCGTCGTCCATCCTCGACCCAGGAACGTTACGGTGCGCAGCTTTTCCGGCTCTCAGGGCCGAGAGGCTATGCACCGCACCGCGCCGGAGCGGGGCCTGAAGAGAGTCCAAGCATGGTGCGGTGCACGGGTGCCGTTCTCGTTCAGCATATTGCTGAGAAGCGCCACGCAAGCCACGTGCGCCACGGGTTCCAGGTTCTAGACCGCCTAGATGGGGTCCGAGTAGACGGGGTCGCAGGATCGCGCCGCATCGCCGAAGCATCGCCGATGCGTCTCGATGTGCAGCCCGATTTTCTCCACGTCGACGTCGCCGATGCATCGCCGACGTCGGCGATGCATCGCCGGTGCATCGCCAGTGCATCGCCGATGCATCGGTGATGCATCGGCGATGCATTGGCGATGCGGTGCGACCCTCCGACTCCATCTACTCGGACTCCATCTAGGAGGCCTCTACAGGTGCACCAGGCACCCTGGAGGCCAAAGCGAGCCAGGCGCGCCAGGTGCGGCACGTGCTCTTCGTTTAAGCAACATGCTGGCACCCCTCGCCGTCCCCGTCAAAGCCCCTGCAGAGTGGTCGCGGGGCGCTCGCGCATGCTCGAGATTCTGAGGCAAAGCGTATTCTACATTGTTTTTTGGCTCGGGATGGTTGGCGTGCGCGCAGCGGGAAATATGACGGCGCCCCCGCCGCCCCTATCAGAAGCCAATGCTACGTGGCCACGGGGCGCCCGCGCACACTCCAGGTGCGGAGGCGAATTGTCAGATGTGCCGACAGGACCACCCTGCGGGTGATAAGGAGGATTGGGGGGGGGGAGGGGGGAGACGGTCGATTTGCGATGGTTCTGTGTTCTTTGGTGGGTTCTTCAATTTTTTCTTGTCGCGCGCACCTGCGCATTTTCTGTCGACCTATCTATGTTGGCATCTGTTTTGGGGCGACCATCTATCTCTATCTATATATTTATATGTATATGTCCATATCTATATATATATTTAGCACCCCGCAATTGCGGATAAGAGTGAGGGGGCGGGCGCGGGCGACGCGGGCGTCGTCAAGCCGGCGGACCTCGTGGCCCCCACCTTCCTTGTCGATGGCGCTCCTCCTCCTCCTCCCTCCTCCTCCTCCTCCTCCTCCTCCTCCTCCTCCTCTTCCTCCTCCTCCTCCGCCTCCTACTCCTCCTCCTCTTCCTCGTCCTCGTCCTCGTTCTCATCGTCATCGTCGTCCTCCTCCTCCACCTCGTCCTCCTCCTCCTCCGCTTCTTCCTCGTCCTCCCTCTCCCCCCCTCGTCCTTCCATCATCGTCCTCCCATTGTCGTCATGTTCCTCCTCGTCGTCCTCCTCCTCTTCCCCCCCTCCCGATCCTCCACCCTCCTCCTTTTCGTCGTCGTCGTCGTCGTCGACGTCATCGTCGTCGTCCCCTTCCTCCTCCTCCTCCTCCTCCTGCTGCTGCTGCTCCTCCTCCTCCTCCTCCTGCTGCTCCTCCTCCTCCTCCTCCTCCTCCTCCTCCTCCTCCCCCTCCTCGTCCTCCTGCAAAACAGCCCGCCGCAGGCGCCGAAAAAATTGGTTTGTACACTGAACGTGGTTTGGGTTTCGGGCTCTCCACCTGGAAGGAATGCAAAAAAGCCCGCCGCAGGCGCCGAAAATGTTGGTTTGTACCTTGAACGTGGTTTGGGTCGAAGGTGGGTCGCGGGTGGGTCGCGGGGTGAGTCGCGGGTGGGTCGCGGGTGGGTCGCGGGTGGGTCGCGGGCGGGTCGCGGGTGGGTCGCGGGGTGGGCCGCGGGCGGGTCGCGGGGTGGGTCGCGGGTGGGTCGCGGGTGGGTCGCGGGGTGGGCCGCGGGGTGGGTCGCGGGGTGGGTCGCGGGTGGGTCGCGGGTGGGTCGCAGGGTGGGTCGCAGGGTGGGTCGCGGGGTGGGTCGCGGGGTGGGTCGCGGGGTGGGTCGCGGGTGGGTCGCGGGTGGGTCGCGGGTGGGTCGCGGGTGGGTCGCGGGGTGGGTCGCGGGTGGGTCGCGGGGTGGGTTGCAACAAACAACAACAACAAACAACAACAACAACAACACGAGAATCCGCACCGCGGAATCTCACTTCAGCCACGCACCCAGGGACATGAATGACCGTTCGGCCCCCTCACTCTGATATATATATATATATATATATATATATATATATATATATATCACTGAATCGACCAATGAAATCAATCATTCGTAATATATGTGCATTGTATAAAGTATGTACATATGTCTCTCTCTCTCTGCCTCTATCAATCGATTTGTGTGTGTCTCTGTCTATCTCTTTTTATTCATATATCTGGTTACCTCTCGACCATCGGGACAACCATCGGAACAACCACCGGGACAACATCTAACAATATCTATACATTTATCATTTATCTATCTGTCTGTCTACCAACCATCGTGACAACCATCGGGACAACAATCGGGACAACCATCAGGACAGCCATCGGGACAACCATCGTGTCAACCATCGTGACAACCATCGGGACAGCCATCGAGACAGCCATCACGACAACCATGGGGACATCTATCGGGACAGCCATCAGGGCAACCATGGGGACATCTATCGGGACAACCATCGGGACAACCATCGGGACAACCATCGGGGCAACCATCGGGACAACCATCGGGACATCTATCGGGACAACCATCGTGACAACCATCGGGGCAACCATCGGGACAACCATCGGGACAACCACAACCATCTGGACAACCGCAGGGACAACCGCCGGGACAACCAGGGGCCACGCCCGGCGCTCGGGGGGCGGCCTTTTTGGCAATATATACCTTCTACTACGGATGGAACTCGCGCAGCTTGCCCTCGCCCGCACGCAAGACACGAACCGAAACCGAAAACGATTTTCTGGTTGGGGTCACTTCCGTTCCAACCCCCCAACTGCCGATCGGTTTTTGACAGGGGTGGTCGGCTTGCGCGCAGCGAGCCATCTGACGCCCTCCCCGCCGCCCCTGCCAGCAACCAGTGCAGAGTGGTCGCGGGGCGCCCGCGCACGCTTCAGCTGTAAAGGCAAAGTGGTTTCTGTTTTGTTTTTGGCTCGGGACGGTTGGCGTGCGCGCAGCGAGCAATAGTTTGGGTAGCCCCCCCGCCGTCCCTGTCAAAAGACATTCCAAAGTGGTCGCGGGGCGCCCGCGCGTGCTTGAGCTGTACAGGCAAAGCCGCTTCTGTTTTTTTGGCGGGGCTCGGGACGGTTCGCGTGCGCGCAGCGAGCAATACAGTCGGGGCCCTGAAGAAGGAACCCTTTTCGTTGGAGAGGGTCTCTGCGTTCCTTGATTGTTCTGCACATTGCCATCAGTTTTCCTGAGGTCTTCGATCTGAAATCGAAGTTTAACTTATGGAAAATAGGGGCCTCGTTCCTTATTTAGGGTTCCTTAGGTCAACGCCCCGACTGTAATTAGGATCGCACCCCCGCCGTCCTTGTCAAAGGCTACTGCAAAGTGGTCGCGGGGTGCCCGCGCGTGCTCCCGATGTTGGAGGCGACACGCTGTCTGTATTGTGCGTTTTGACGGGGACGGTGGGGGCGGGGAGCATGTCTCGGGTTGGCCCGCGGTCGGGTGGGCAGGGGGTGTATTTCGCAGGCCTGTTGGGTGCTCATTTCCAGGGCTTCCAGTATTTGCATAAGGGGCACTGGCAACCCCTCCCACGAGCAGGGGAAGGAGGGGGCGAGAAGACAAAACTCGTTGAGCCACCTACGCATAAGGAGCACTGGCAACCCCTCCCACGAGCAGGGGAAGGATGGGGGCGAGAAGGCAAAACTCGTGGAGCCGCCTACGCCACGCCCAAAGGGCTGGTGGGATCTTGTCGCATACGAGTGTAGAACGTGCGGAGCAGTCACATCCTCCAGATCTTCTGCCCCCCTTGTCCCCCAGGCCCCCTCACCCGCGCACGCCTCTTGGGCTATGATACGCTATAGCCCCCCTTGCCCTGGCCCCCCTCTTCGGCGCACCCCACCGGGGGCCCAGGACCGGCAGGCATCGCACGATCTGCGCCGCCCCCGATCCTCGCAGGCAGTCCTGCGATGAGGATGCATACCCCAGAGCGTTGAAAGAGGAGGGGGAGGAGGAGGAGGAGGAGGAGGAGGAGGAGGAGGAGGAACAGGAGGAGGAGGAGGAGGAGGAGGAGGAGGAGGAGGAGGTCTGCAGCGGCCGCGGCGGCAGATGCGCTCCCCAGACACGCCGGCTTTCCCAGGGATCCCTGACCTTTTGATGACAGCACAGCCTACCCTTATGTCGGGCGTGTACCCCTACAGGGGGATTTTCTACGAAAAATGAAAAATACTTCAAAAATACCCCAAGAAGGTGAAAAAATACTTGAACAATAGTCCCCAGACTATTTTTCGATTACTTCTTGATTCTTCTGGGGGTGTTTCTTAATTTTTCGTCGGAAATCCCCCTGTAGGGGGACACGCCCGACTTAAGCCTGCCCCCACCCCCCGCCAGGGCCCCCACGCTCGACCGGGTGATCCACGCCACGGGGTCCCCGGCCGGGGGTCGGGGGTGTCTCCCTGCGGCGGCCCAGGAGCCCCCAGGCCGCCCCCACCCCCAGCCATCGGGGGCGGCAAAGAGGGGGGTGACGACTAGGGGGGGCGTGGATCTCATGGCGTGGGCCACGATATTTTTCCCCAGATGTCATGGCGCCGCTCCTTATTTTAGTATATCCCTGGTCCCCCCGCTGGGCCGCGCACGTGCCGCCGGTCATGATTTGCACCCCCCCCTCTTGGACACCCCCCTCTTGGCCGCTCCCGAAGCCAGGACCCTGGGTAACCAGGTCGGGGTTGGGGTTCCTGGCTGGGGCCAGGGTGTGTGTGTGTGTGTGTGTGTGTGTGTGTGTGGGCGGTGCTGCCCTCGATGCCCATCCTGCTTGCGCCTCGTTCTCTCTCCCCGCCCCCGCCCCGCCCGAGACCCAGGCAGCCCGGAGCAGGCGGGTCGGCGGCAGCGTGTCCGCGTCGAGGGGGCGCGCCCAGCCTGCGCCCGCGGGCGTGCCCTCATGCCGGGCCTCCTCCAGGTCTCTGGGCTCAGCATCGTTGCGCCGATGTCTTAAGTCCAAGCAGTGACGAAGCGTCCTGGCGTGCGTCCTAGGGCTACCGAACAATGTTCTAATAACCCGTTGTGTGGTTTCCACGAATTGTTCTCAGAACATTTCTGGCTGGGACTGTCTTGTTTGAACACATCGGGTCCATGTTCTAAGAACCTTGCTGGTATTCTTAGAACATCTCTGGGTTATAGAACTGCCGGGACGGTCGGTCTCTGCTCAATAAGTATCCCCATGCCCATCCCCATGTCGATCCCCACCATCCCACCACCCCAGCTGGGGAGGCGCTCTCAGAAGCCGGGAACAGCCCACGTCCCCATCGGGGGGGGGTCTCTATCGTGGGCGGAAGGCGCATCCGTATCCGCGGCCTCGTGAGCCGGGCCCCTGGGCCGCGACCACGCGGATACGGAGCATCTGCTCGCGGATTCAAGGCAGGAAAAACCTTCCAGGACCAGACAATCGGCGTTTACTCAACGGCCCTGGGCGTTCACTAAACAGCCTGCCCTGTTCGATTCCTTCTCTGGGCGCGTTTACTACACGACTTCGCGTGTGGGGGTGGTGATGATCGGGGTGGGTTTTTGACCTCTGCGGATTTTCCACGCGGAACGTACCCGTGCGACCGCACATCCGCGGGCCCGCGCCCCCGAATCCAGACCGCGAGGGCGCGGACACGGATCTTTTCGCCGCTCGTGGCTCCAGGCCTCCGAGACGGGTCGACGCACCGTGGGGGCGCGCGTGTTTCTCGCCAGGGCATCCTGGGCTTCGTCGCTCCTCGCGCCGCGCGGTGACTTCCCGCGGCCGTTGGAGGAGCTGCTGCGTTCAGGGTGCTCCACAGGGCTCGTTTCGATTCCTCCGATTCGATTCGATTCGATTTCGATGGCTTCCGATTCCAATTCGAGTCGACTTGAGATTCCGATTTGGGCTCCGATTTCTCATTGGAGGCCTGCTAATTAGCCTGCCGATGTCTGCCGATTCGACTCTTCCCGACTCGGCTTCCGATTTCCGCCGACCCGATTCATTTCGACCGCCGATCCGACTTGTCGATTCGATTCTGGGCTCTCCTGCTCCAGGCTTTCCCCCTCGGGTGCACCTCGCGCACGGGTTCTCGGGGCTGGGCCTCTTCTGCGAGGGCTTCTCGCGGCCGCGCCCGCACTCTGAAGATAGGGGTCGGAGCCTTGCGCCCCTCGCCGAGGCATATCGGCGAGGCGGCTCGACGTGGAGCACGACTTTCTCTCCACGCCGATGCTGCCGATGCCATCGCCTGCGTCGCCGAGGCACCGCCGAGGCATCGGCGATGCGGCTCGATGTGGAGCACGACTTTCTCTCCACGCCGATGCTACCGATGCAGCGGCGATGCGGCTCGATGTGGAGCACGACTTTCTCTCCACGCCGATGCTACCGATGCCTCGGCGATGCGGCTCGATGTGGAGCACCCATTTCTCTCCACGCCGATGCTACCGATGCGTCGCCTCCGTCGCAGATGCATCGCCGGCGATGCATCGGCGGTGCGGCGCGATCCTCCGCCCTCACGTGCTCGCACCCCATCCGGGATGCCTCCGAGGTCCTGTTCTTCGAGGTCGTCTTCCGCCAGGCCCCGCCGCCGCCTCTCCGTGCCGACGCGCCCAGTTCCTGCTTCGCGTTGCAGCACAAGGGGGTCCAGCGACACGGGTGTGGTGCAATGGATTTGGTGCAATAGATTGGTGGGGTTGCGATACATCTGGGGCGTGCAATACATTCCAGGGCGCAAGTGTATTGCTGGATCTCCGCTTGCAGTACGTTCCTCGCAATGCAATGCAATGCAATGCAATACAATGCTCCGGCGCAATGCATTTGCAATACACTCTCCCCAAATCTATTGCACCACGCCCTGTTGGCTGGACCCCCTTTTGGGTCACCCACATTGCTGCCCACTCCCCAGGGGCGGACGGACTTCGAGCCTCGAGGTTCGCACATCGATGTTTTCGGGCGTCCTCGCCGCTTCTCGGGGCCTTTCAAGCCCTGGGCTGGTCTCCAGCAGCCGCTCCTCGCCCACGCCCTTCCGTGGGTGTGTCCGGACTGTCCCGAACCGCAATTGGAGGCCCGAGACATGGCCCAACAACAACCAAGGAGCGGGATAGGCTCAGGGGTAAACGCATCGACCTCCAATCGCCCATTCATCGCGAATGATCAGGGGCCCGATGGCCCACCCCGCCTAGGAACATGCGGATTTGCTTGTGGGGGCCCATCTCCCACATATGGGCGATGTATCGCCGATTTCAGGTCGATGTTCCCCCCCCCCCTGAGTCAGGTCCCCCGCTCTCGTTGCCCCTGGACTCGGAGGCGGAACATTCATCGGGCGGGGCGGAACGAGGATGAATCCGTTTCAGAGCTTTCCGGAACGCTCTCAGAGCTTTCCAGTAACGCTCTAAGAAGGCTGCGGCGCCCGAGACATCCTGCAGAACCACCAGATCTCAGAGATTCCCCATCTTTCCTCACCCGATGGTGTCCTCGTCCTGGCGTCGTCTTAAGAAACCGATGCCGCTTCCTTGCTGTCGTTGACCGCCTTCTTGAGCGTCTTTCTTCGGGTCGGGCGAGAGGCGGGGCTAGGGAAACGGAGGGGGTACAGAGTCCGCAGCATGCAGCCGGTTTCGTCTCCGCCGACATGCGCCTTCGACGATGCACTGGCGCCCTCGGCATCGGGAGGCGCGGGGAAATCACATATTTGAGCCGAGTTGCCAGGACCCCCCCTCATTTCGGGGGCAACCATAGGGGGGGGGAGGAAGAGGAGGAGGAGGAGGAGGAGGAGGAGGAGGAGGAGGAGGAGGAGGAGGAGGAGGAGGAGGAGAGGAAAACGAGGAGCAGGAGGACGAGGAGGAGGAGGAGGAGGAGCATTGGGGGGGTGCATCGACCCCCCATGGCCCATTGATCGCCGATGGGGGGCCCGATAGCCCCAGCCTGCACAAGAAGGCGCGGATTCACTATCGGGGGCCGATCGCCGATCTATTGGCGATGTATCGCCGATTCCAGGTCGATGAATCCCCCCCATGCCAGTCTCCCCCTTATCGTTGCCCCTCACTTGTTCGGTAGCAGATCATGGGAGCCTGGTATCCTGTTACGTCTTTAGCGTCGATTCGCGTCAGGGAGTCGAATAGCGCCGATTTGGCGTTGGCCAGCGTCGGTGAGCGTCAGTTAGCGTCGATCGGCGTCGATTCACGGAGCCGACAAGATGATACGGGAGGCTACCATGAGCTGCCACCGAACCCTTGGTCCGACCCGATACCCTCTGTTGGGAGGCCTTCGTCGCCACGGCTGGATTCACTTCGCAATTCTGGTCAGAGCGAGCTCTGGGATAGGTCCAGTGAGTAGCGGTTGCTGTATCGGTATCCGTTTGGTCCCGCTGCTCCTGAGTGACGAACGCATCATCGAGGATGGAAGTAGGTGGTTTAGGTTGGCTAGTCGTGTTCCGCGTCTGGAGGCCTTTTCGGGTCCCCCAGGTTGTCACACACCGATCCAGGATCGATCCAGGTCAGAGTCAGGGACCTCACCACCCACCAAGCCCTCCCAACCCAACCCGAAGGCCTCGATTTGCCCTCCATTTCCAGTGTGGGGGGGGGGTCGGGGAACGTTGAAAAAACACATGGAACCCGTACCCCCCCCCCAAACCCGAAATTCGGTTCGAATTCGGGTCTTCGGGTCTTCGGTTGGGGTGGTCTGGTAGGTAGTCAGGACCGATTTGGAGCAGACTGCGGCGGCGAAGTGGTTACGTGATCCCACGGGCGCGCTCCGCGCGGGGACGCTCCGCGCAGAGCGGCCCTGCATCCGTGTCGCGCCGCGGCCCGGGATGCCTGGGCCGCGGGGCCGTGGGTGCGGGACGCTCCTCGCCGGCGAGATCCGGTATCATAGCCCCCCCCCTCCTCCTCCTCCTCCTCCTCCTCCTCCTCCTCCTCCTCCTCCTCCTCCTCCTCCTCCTCCTCCTCCTCCTCCTCCTCCTCCTCCTCCTCCTCCTCCTCTATCCCCATCTAGGGGGGTAAATCGGCCAGTGGGGCCCAGGCCACGCCGCTGGGGATGGGGATCGGGTAGACAATACTCAGAGATCCCTTCCCTCTCCAAGCGCCGCCGAGATCCTCCCGCTCCCGTACCACCGTCCTTGGGTTGCAATTCTTGGGGGGGTCACGTGACTTCAGCATCTGCGCTGGTAGATCCCTGGTCGAAGACTGGCATGATCCGGCCTGACCCCGTGCAATGCGGCTCGATCTTGCTCCACCTTGGGCTCTCTCGGGGCTTCATTGATTCGGCCTTGTGGCCCTCGAATCAGCTCACTAGCTCACTGGCCCTTGACCGTTCCAACGAAGACCTCCCAGTCAGGAGTTGCCTCCTCACCCTCCTCCCCGCCCTTCTCGGGAGGAGGGATGAGGCAGGGCGCAGGGATCATCGAGAGGAGCAGGGACGGGTGAGGAGAGGAAGAGGAAGAAGGAAGAAGGAGGAGCAGGCGGAGGAGGAATGACAGGGTGAGGACGCGGACGACAAGGGGCAGGAGTAGGAGGAGGAAGAGGAGGAGGAGGAGGAGGAGGAGGAGGAGGACAGCGAGGACGCCGACGAGGAGCTGTCCCCCCCTCTCCCCCTTTGCTCCCTGACTCGGACCTTGCCGACTTTCCTCCAATCGGTTTGTGGGGATTAAGCTGAGCTTAATCGAGGCCAACGGCGAAGCAAAACCATACAGTGGGGGCCCATTCCAAGAATCCCCTTGCTTGCCTCTAGGGTGCCCTGGGTTTCTTGGGTTTCGATGGTGTTGCTATGGAAAGCGTGACGCTCGCACGCCAAAAATCCATGGACGTCCTGGGGTCTCAGGGTTGGGTTTCCTGTGGAAGGTTTCTTGTGGTCGAGCGCCTATTGTATGGATCAGACGTCCAGCACCTCGGGCAACATTCTTGTCCATGCCCCCACTCTGGACCCAATGGTGGGATTGCGGCGTGAGCAGGGACTCAGTGGGCCCCGGCAACGGCAGGGCCGTTTTTCACCGTTTCCAGAAAAGCGTTTCTTGCAAGTGGGGGCGGTATAGGAAACGGCTTTTGGAGACGGCTAACAAACACGGCTCCAAATGGGACAGGGAAATGAACCGGCAAAGGCTCTGCGTTTGGACCATGAAGAGCACGGCGCCAGCACCGGCAAACAAAACAGCCAGACCCAACGGGTAACAAACATTGCCCCGTTGTTTCCAGGGCCCACCAAGGAACAGGGGCATGGGTAAAACGCCGATCGCCCAAACGTGGCTCGGCTCTTTACTGTGGCGCGCCCGGCGGTGGCAGATGGACCCTGCCCTCCCACCGCCGCGCGCAGAGGCAGCTCCGCGCTGTCCACCCGGGCACCGCCCGCCCGCTGGGTCCACCTCGCCTCCCCGTCCCGCTCCCCCTGGCGGCCCCCCCGGGGCCAGCACTCGTGGCGCCGGCATCGCAGAGCGGATCTCGTGCGGAAAACGATGGGGTGGGCCGGGAGAGTCCTGGAGAATTTCGCTCCAGACTTCGAAGTGAGTTTCGCTCGGTTTTTGGTTGGTCAGGAAAGAAGACCAAAAGAAATCCACGCGCGATTCACTTCGTTTGTCGTTCGCCGTTCTGGGCAGAAATCCAATCAGAAATCCAGGCAGAAATCCGCTGCAGCACGTCTGCAAGGCCGGTGCAATGACAGCACCAATCCCCCCCGTCGTCCTCCTCGCTTTTCCTACTCCCCCTCCTAAGAGTAGGAAAGGGTACCCATACCTCTACCCTGCCGCCGTCCCTTTGTGGGCCTCCCGGGAGGCCCTCGTCGTCACCGCCGGAATCGCCTCGAAATTTTGGTCAGAACGCTTCGTCCCCAAGCCGAGCAGCGAGATCGACGGGGGGGACGCCCGCTCGACCCGTGGCGGACGTCTTGGGTCGCGGTCGATCGTGAGAGACACGCTTTGCCGGGCCCACGCGTTGTCGGCGGCGCGGGGTGCAAGTGCCCGGTCAGCTATGACGCAAGCGCGGGTCGAACGCCGCTGGCGGGGGCCAAGCAGAGCTGCGATCTCGCGGCCCTCGCCTCCGCTCCGCGGAAGGGCCCGCGGGCGGCGGCTGCCTTCGGGGCGCCGCGCCCGTGCCTCGCCCAGGCACGGCCTGCGCCGCTCGTGGCGGCGTGGCCAGCCCGTGGACTGGCGCCAGGACGTGATGCAGATGTTCCCGCCGGGCCACCCTGGAGTGGATGGCGCGGCCCGACCGCGGGGCCGCCCATCCGCGCAGGCCCAAGGGCCCACTGAAGTTGGTCACCGGCTGGAGCAGTGCAGCCCGTGGCGACCCTGATCGAGCGTGTGGGCCCGGGCTCGCTGGAGCTCGCCGGCGTCCTCGGCGCGCCGCTGCTCGCGAGCCCAATGGCCCCACGACGTCAGCGTCGTCGGCCCCGGCCCTGGCTCGACCTGCGCGGAGGTCGGTGAGCACGCCGGGCAGAACCGTCACACCCCCGCAAAGAAAATGCACCGCACTGGGAATGCCAGCGGTCGCCATGCTGCGGCCTCCGCGAAGTCACGCGGCCGTGGCGGGCAGCGTGGCCCACTCGGGGTGGATTTGGCGCAAGGGCTACATCCCGACGGACCCCGCGCGTCGG